GTGTGGGGGGGTGATCAGGTGATCGGCTGACTGGACAAGTACCTACTTTGGAAAGTTAGCCCAGGGGCGGGGTCGACCAAGCAAAGGGATGGGACACACAGGCCAAGCCAAAGACGAGGGGCAGGTTCTGCGAGCAGGGGCTGACCGGCCCACCTCGCAGATCTGCTGGGCGAACAGCAGCAGCTGGGCCAGCCCAACGCTGTGCCGGGGCAGGTAGTCTCGTAGGCTGCCCAGGGGTACGTACTCCATGACGAGCTGTACTGATTTTTCGCCTGAGGGCGATAGAGGTAGGGGCCATGGGCCGCCCACCGTGAGCCCTGCAGTTCCCCACCTCAAGGTGGGGAGGGAAGGCCAAGACCCACACACTAGGTCCAGTCCTCAGGTGGGAAGGACCCATCCTGAACCTTGTCCCCAACCCAGGGAGCTGACAATGACTCCGACCCATCCTGGCCCTAGGCAAGCGCCTCCCAAAATGGAAAGAAGGCAGCCCAGCTACGCCCACTTCGGTGCCTAACAACCGGCACCCTCCAGCCTGGCGCTGAGGCTCTAATTAGCCACAGGCCCTGATGGCCCCGCCCCATCGCACTTCTAGGCCCGTCCGGCCCCGCCTACCTTGGTCCTCGCAGCAGCCTTTGTACTGGACAATGTGCTCATGGTAGAGCGTACGCAGGATGTCGATCTCCCGCCTCCAGCCAGTGCGGAGCTGAGGGCCGCAGTCTGCTTTGAGGGCCTTCACTGCCACCATCTCGCCAGTGCCGTCGTTGGTCGGGTCGTAACAGTATAGGCTGACCTTGCCGAAGTGACCCTGGCCAAGAACCCAGGATAATTTTTAGCTGCAACCACGATTCCCTGGGCCCTGCCTCCAAGCTGGTCAGTTTGGAAAAATCCTAGGCCCTACCTACTCCGTGTTGCTGGGTCTCCTAGGGGCCTAGGCCCCCATTTCAATTCCCCAGGGCCTTCTCTGAAGCTGAGGTTCATCTGGGACTGGCATCACCCACGCTGAGAAACATTCTTCCGCAGGATTTTCCTTAGGACTTGAACTCTTCCCCGCCAGAAAACTTTCTAACAGCCAGGCCCCGCCCCCAGTTCTCCAGGCCCCGCGCTCACCTCGCCCAGATCCCGAATCTTTTTCAAATAGCGCTTGTGGAAAACAGTGGGGTCTGCCGCCTGCAAGTCTGGGTTCACAGCCAAGACATCAACAAGATCTGGAAGAGCCACAGTGCGTGAGGTCGGACCCTCCCCATTTACACAGCAGGCCTACACTTGGGGTCACAGAAAGCAGGTGACTCTTCCCCCAGCATCAAGCCAGAGATAAAGAAACTTTTTGCAACAGCTAGAAAATTCCACTTCTGGTCCAAAACGCAGAGTTGGCTGCATCAAAGTGATACCCGGGGTGTTCTAAGATTGGGTAAAGGGCACAAACTTTTCATCAAGAGAGAAAACAAACAAAATTCATCCAAAGCTTGGCTGTCCCCAAGGAAAACATTAAGAACTCCGAGCATTCCACCCCTAAGTGAATTAGAATCGGGCACACCCCCTGAGCCACTATACAGAGACCTTGGGTGCACTGTGCCTGTGTCAACAGGAATTCCAGTCCCTTCCCCTGCCCCAAGGTCCCAGCACTGGGGTGGGGCTCACTTTGGGGCTGCAGCCGAGTGAGGTCACGCAGGATGGTGCGGAAAGATGGCCGCTGGGCAGGCTCATAGGTCAGGCACTGGCTGGTAAGCATGGCCAGCTCAGGGCACGAGGGTTCAGGCAGCTGGTGCTGCTTGTGGTAGAAGTGCTCTTTCTGTGGAGAAGGAGACCAGAAGGATTCAGTAACCTGACTCCCCAAGTCCCTTTTCCCAAGAGGAAGAGTCAAACCCCCAGGGGGGCAGGGCTGGAACAGCCAGGTCCTTGTTCTGTCATCATTTTACAGATGAAGCAACCGAGCCTTGGCAAAGGGAAGCTGACTTGCCTGCCACCACAGAGCCAGGACTTAAATGAATGCATCAAGGACTCTGGGCCTTTGCACAGGCTGTGCCTAGGCTGCCCTTCTCTAGCATGGGCCACTGTGGTATTTCTGCACTTAGATTCAAACCTCCTCTGGGAGGGCCGGCCAAGTGGCTCAGGTGGTTAAGAGCTCGCTTAAGAGTGTGAGCTCTGAGCAACAGCGGTTCTATTCCTGCCCCGAGCTGAGCTGCCGCTGAGCTGCCAACAGGTGGCAGGATGGCTCAACTAAAAAAAACACAAAAAACAAAAAACAAAACCTCCTCTGGGAAGCCTTGCCTGACCCCTCAGCGGGGTCAGGGGCATCCTCTGGGACCTCCTCCCCACTACAGCCTGTGTTTCCTCCACCACTGCCCGGGTCACTGTGTCTAAAACTGAAGCATGTCACTTACTTGCTGTGTACCACAATGACATTATGATGTCGGGACAATTAACTCCAACTGACAGGTAGCCTGATTGGAGCCCCAAAGAGATGAGACAACATATGTGAGGCCACAAGCCAGAGGGGTAGCTCTAGACCCTGAATGTGCCCTTGGAGGTGCTGGCCCCTTTGTGGGAAAGGCCCAAGGGTCCCCAGATGTACCTCAGAGGGGCTGCGACACTGCAGAGGAGCCTCCCCGTTGAAGCAGATCTCCAGGAGGCTGGCACCAAAGCCCCACTTGTCAGCAGCGGTGGTTAGGCTGTTGGCTCCGCCGGAGAGGCACTCAGGGGCCATCCAGGGGATCCGCTCTACCCGCTCTGGGGGTCAGGGCTAGAGGTCACCAAGGGTGAAAGGAGTAGGGGAAGCCACTCCCCATACCCAGCCATGTCTGGGTCCTCACCCTCCCTGGAGAGGGCGCCCAGGCCCACGCCGGGGTCACTCAGCTTGATGAATGGGCTGGTACCCTCTGCCAACCCCAGACGTGCCAGCAGGATGTTCCGGCCACACACGTTACCATGAACCAGTCTCTTGTCTTCCTGGGGTGGGAAGGAAAGGGGGCATGACAACGAGGCCTACAGACCCTGTCCCCACTCCATCCCACAGGGACAGCCTATGTGGAAAGGACAATCATGGTCATTATGGAGATCCCAATACATTGTCATTGTGGGCCCAAATGGGTCCTTCCTGTTTTCCCAGAGCTGATGGTCAAGGCTCTTGGCCAGAGAGACAAAAGGCCAGAGGACCCCACTGCTGTACTCAAACCCATGCAAGGCATACTCCTTCCCCAGGGCCTTTGCACTGGCTGTTCCCTCTGCCTGGGATGTACCTGGGGGAATCCTTCCCTAAACCATCTATTGAAAACTTCACCTCTTCCCCAACCTGCAGGAACTCCGTAACTCCGCCCCTGCTTCCAGCCCCCTTCCATGGTTCTTTCTACTATATAGCATATAACGTACATACTTATTATTTCTCATTTATCCCTCCCAACTAAAGTGCTGACTCCCCAAGTATAGACATTTCTGTTTTGCTCTTTGTGTGTCCCCAGGGCCTACGACAGAGCCTGGCATACAGGGATGCTCTGGAAACTGGGGTGACTGGACCAGGAGAGGCTGGGGATAAATGGCAAGAGAGTAACAGAGACAGCCAAGGCCGGGCCCCACAAAGTTTCAGACACCAAGTGGAGGAGTTAGGTGTTCTCTTGGGGAGATGGGAGATGGGTATGTGAGCAGAAGAGGTTCACGGAAAGATCTCCTGGGGCCAGTATGTGGATTGAAGGATGTATCGAGGTCTCTATACCCAGTGCTGAGGCTGCCCTGGCCCTTCCCACCAACTGGTCCCACCCATAGGCCACGTACCAGGTAGCTAAGGGCACTGGCCAGCTGCTGGGCTACTGCCACCTTCCAGGCCACAGGCACGCAGCCCCTCTCCCGCCGCAGCCACATGTCTAGAGGTCCATGCTCCACGTACTCTGTCACCATGATGTCTGCAAAGGTAAGCCGCTGCAGGGCCACCCACCTGCGTCCACCCTCCAGGGTGCTGAGGGCAGGCCATGGGGGCTGGGGCTGGGGCTGTGGGCAGGGAAGCTATCGGGCAGGGGTGTGGCGGGGGGCTTAGGAGTGACTTCAGGGAGAAGAGAAATGCAGGATGAAGTGTAGGCTGAGGTGGGTACCAGGTGAGGCAGAGGCTAATGGTGGTGTTTGGGTCCAGGGTGGGGTGGGTCTGAGGCATACAGTCAGCTGTCATGACAAAGATGGGGAGGGGACTGGGGACCTGGGGGTGAGTGCAGACAAGTGGAGGTATGGAGCTTGAGGCTGGGACATAAGTGATGCTAGGATTCCACAGGGTTGGGGTGCTCGGGGTGTAAGTTATACAGGGGTCAGAGTGTAAGCCAGCATTGCAGGGGAAGCAGGAGAGGTAGACACATGGGGTTCAGGTTCTGGGGGCTGGCTGGGGTCACCCTGTGCAAGGAGTTTTGAGGTACACACAGAGTAGAGGTAGAGGTGGGGTTGGGACAGGGGCTGAGGTCTGGAAGGATTGGGGTACCCAACAGGGCTGGGATCTGCATGGGGTCACAGTCCTGGTGGGGTTAGAGGGCAGATGGGGGCTGGGCTATAGAGGCATCTGGGTGGTGAATGGAGCATGGGATGCAGCTGAGAATCAGGATGTAGTCGAGGGTTGGGGTGCAGGTAACAATCAAGGTGTAGCCAGAGGCTGACATGCAATGGGATGGCATATAGTCAGGGGTTGGGGTACAGGTTGAAGGTCAAGGTATAGCCAGAGGTCGGGGTACTGGTAAGAGTTGAATAGTCACAGATTGAGGTGTAGGCAGGGGTCAGTATGTTGGTTGACCCAGTATATGGTTCGGGGTACAGCCCAGGGAGTGGGTGTAAGTGGGGGTTCAGCTTGTAAATGGAAGGGGTGGTATGCTGGGGTCCACTCACTCTTGGAGCCGTGCACACAGACGCCATGGACGAAGGCCAGGTGCACGTGGGACACCTGGCTCATCAGGCTGGCTGTCTCATAGAAGGCCTGTGGGGGCAGGCCAGGTCAGGTGGCTGCACACCCTGCCCCTCACCCTGCCCCCTGGCTGTGCTCACTCACCAGGGCGATGTCATGGTGACTGGAGTCTAGCACCTTCAGCACCACTCGTAGCTCCTGCCCATGGCCCTCACTGGGCATGGGGGTGTCCCCACCATCTGCCTTGTCCTCCTCAGGGCCTCTGCCCCCTATTCGCAAGCGGCCCTCATACACGTTGGTCCTCGTGCCCTGGCCCAAGTGGGACAGCTGGGGGAACATGGCAGGGAACATCTCTATGACAACAGCTGGTGGCTGCCCTCCCGGTACCCCCCTACCCCCAGGGGCCCCACACCTGCACACACCTGGGTGATGTCATCCTGGCAGACCCGGTGGAAGCTGAGCTGGCTGAGGTTGAGAGGCCTGGTGCTGGCCTGAGGCCCCCGCATGATGATGAGGTTGGAGATCTCTGGGGGTGAGAGCAGTCACTAAGGGCTGCCATGGGGGAAGCTGCCACCCTCCACCCCATGCACCCCCATCATACCTCCTGGCTGCGGCAGGCAACAGTGGCGCAAGGAGAAGCAGTCATCTCCGGCCCGTAGTAAGCAGCCCTGCAGGGCTGCCCGAAGCTCCCGCACACTGGGGAAGGACCGGTCCCAGCTCTCCAGTGTGAAGGCCCCCGTATGCAGCTCAATGGGGAATTTCCGCAGGCGCAAGCCCTGCGTGCCATGTTCCTGGGGTGGGTGGCAGGATGAGGGCGGTGAGCAGGGGTCCAGGCAGGGAGCACACCCAGCCCCAGCCCAGGACCCCCGCCCCAGGCCCACCTGGTCCCTCTGGGCCACCGTGAGGATGAGGCGGTTGAAGTGGCTGGTGCTCCAGTGGATGAGATAGAGGCCATCCTCCGGCCGCAGCTTAGCCAGCACAAATGGCTCCCTGCAAGGGACAAGGGGGCAGCATCAGGGGGGCTGCTGGATCCCCACCTGGCAACAAGGACACACAAAACCTGCCCAGAGGGGCACACTCCCAGCTGGGACAAATGTCAGGCACAGCTGCTTATGTGGTGACATTGAGTCTGGGACACACACGTGCAGGTAGAACACTGTCACACGTGACAACTCACATGGGGAAACAGGCACACACTTGTGTGAAACAACTGTCAGACACTGTCACCGACACAGTGACATATATACAGAGACAGAAAACAGCTGTCAAATGCTAGTGGGCACACACCCAGCCACAGACACAGCCACTCACAGGATGACACACAGTGGACTGTCTGTCACATAACCAAAGGAGGATGTTCATAGATACAGCTGCTTACCCAGTGTAATGAGGCAGCACAGGGGCACCAACATCCTTGACCCAGAGGTAATAATTATCCTGAGCACAAACAGGCACTACAGGTGACATAGCGCCACAGGCCCAGACACCTACCTACACGGTGGCTCACATCCTGCTAGACTGAATGCTCGTGTCCTCCTAAAATTCGTATGTTAAGCCCTAACCCCCAATGTGATGGTATTAGGAGATGGGGTCTTTGGAAGGTGGTTAAGTCATGATGGTGGAACCCTTATGAATGGGATTAGTAGCCTATAAAAGGGACCTCAAAGAGCTTTGTGAGGACACAGCAAGAAGACAGCTATCTTGAACCAGGAAGTGGGCCCTCACCAGACAAGGGATCTGCTGGTACCTTGGATTTGGACTTCTGACCTTCAGAACTGTGAGAAATCAATGTGTGTTGTTTCCAAGCCACCCAGTCTGTTGCATTCTGTTATAGCAGTCTGAACTGGCTAAGAAACGCGCTGATATGGCCCATAGTCCCTGTACGGGTGGCACACACCCAGCTGTGATGTGGCACAGCCACAGCTCTCGTGAGGTGAAATGGCTACTTCACTGTCCTCTGGTGTAGAGACCAGGCTCAGAGGGGTCAGACCTCTCAGAAATCCCCAGGGGCCAGTCCCAGTGTTACATGCAGGATAAGAGATGCCCAGCACAGGGCCAATGGCCAGACAAGCTAATAGTCACAAACTATGACCTGGCAACATGCAGGATGGCCACACATGCATCTGATGACCACATAAGCACTGATACTTCACATTTGCAGCCCTACAAGTCCAAACAGAATTGCTCAGTGACCGACAATTCCAGGACAGACACACACCTGCAAGGGTGTGAACACCCACACATATCTCTGAATGGCCACCAGCGTTTGGCCACAACATAGCCCCACAAAAATCATCCATCCTATCACGTGTGAAAACATGCGATGACAATTTTATACACAGTCACTGGAAAAGTGACACAGCTGCATGACAAATGGGCTGTTAAATATCCAGGCATGCACCACGACAGTCCCAAACCCAGGGACTCTCATGACACGTTGCCATTGTAGGCACTCTCTCCCCCTATCACACCTGTTGTGCCACACTTACATGCAAACACATACACACAAATACACACACACACACTCACTCACATACACACTCACCAGTGTGCACTTGCACACGTGTGCACATACAGGCACACACGTGAGTGTACTTCCACACACACACAGATACAAATGGATGCACACAGTGGTATGAGTGAATACTTACACATATAATGCATGCACACACAGGCAAACACATGCTCACACTCACAGGTACACACCAGACACAAAAGTTTGCACACATATGTGCTCACACACACACTCACACAAATGCATGCACACGTACAGCTGCACACACAGTCACACACTGAGACATGAATGCACACAAATATGTGCACACACCTCATTCGAGCCCCAGTTCCCAAAGTTCAGTCTAGTTGGCAGCTGCTGCCACCATGGCCCATGCCACCCAGCCGCCCCTCTGCGCACTCACAGCAGAGGTCCGTGAACACCGTCCTGGATACTCATCACTAGCCGTGGAGGAGCCACTTCGTGGCATAGGTAGTGGCTCGAGTCGGCTGTCAGGCGGAAATAGCCATCCACCAGTGACACCAAGGACAGGGCCTTGGCCCGGGAAGGCAGAGTCAGCTCCTATAGGCCAGGGGTATGTCAGCCAGGCGTCACAGGCTGGAGGCACCCCCCCAGCCCAGCCCCCAGTCCCAGGCCCCACCAGGCACTTGTTGTCTTGACAGTGGATGCTGACATGGCATTCTCTCAGCACCACATGGGTAATGTCCTGGAAGTCACAGAAGTAGGCCCACGGCACCTCGCGCAGCCTGTCCATTGGTTGGTTGCCCAACTCTTGGGCCTTGGCTTTCTTCCCAAGTGAGCGAGCATGGGGATTCCTGCTCCTGCCACCGTCACCACCACTGGGACCCTGGAAAGCCAGCATGTGCGGTGGGTGGATTTGAGCAGGGATGTACCTGTTTAGTCCCCTGCACGTTCCATCTGCGGAAAGGCTGGAGCTGGACAGACCAGGCAATCTCCTTAAGCGTCCCCGCTCAAGTCCTGGTGTCACACGTGGGACACAGGACCCATCCCCAAGAGATACACATGCCAGAAGCCAGAACCTCGAGGAGGGCAGAGAAGAGAATCCTAGTTCTCTCACCCCTGTATGTCAAAGGGGTTCTCAGAGGTGCAGACCCCAGAAATCAGGTCCCCAGGGGGCAGGCAGACAAAGGACACTCCAAAAGAAAACAGACCCCAGGGGACAGAAGGACATGCCCCAGAGCCATGTGGGGAAAGGGCGCACCACAGGCCCCCCTCAGAGACTAAGGCCAAGATTTCACAGGAGCCCCTGCCCAGCCCTTCCTGGACCCTCAGATGGAAGAGGTGCCCTGCTCACCTCTGCCTGTACTGGCCGCCACTGGATGCCACCAGTGCCGGTCACCAGCACCTCGTGAGTCGGGGGTCCTGCAGCAGACTCGGGCCCAGGGTTCAAAGGGGCCTGCCTGCTGTCCCGGATGTAGCAGGGCTCCCCCTCAGCCTGGGCCAGCAGCTCTAGGTGGCATACAGGCACACGCTCTGTGCCGAAGCGGGGCGCCAGCCGCTCAAGTGTGGCCAGGTACTTGACCATGATGACCTGCTGGGAGAGGTGGCCTGGCTGGAAGGCCCGCAGGAACCTGTGGAAGATGATCCACAGGCGCAGCCGTGTGAAGGCGTTGTGTTGCTGGATTTGCTCCCGGAAGGAGCGTGGGATGCAGTCCTTGAAGCTGTGGGGATGACAAGGAGGGGCCAGTCAGGCGCCTGGGTTGCAGGCCTGGCTGGGTAACATGGGGCAAGTGGATTAACCTTTCTGAACCTCGGCTGCCTCATCTAGAAAACACGCAGGCTATCATGAGGTAGAAAGACCACAGAATAAAGGGCCAGCACAGGGAGACTGGGTGGTGTTGGGACCGGGGCACAGAACTCAGGAGGAGTCTATGGGGCTGAAATCCCAGCTCTTGGGCAACTTCCTTAAGCTCTAAAGGGCTGTCTGCTCATCTGTAAAATGAGTTCCAACAGTGCCCACCTGTAGGGCTGATGACAGAATTAAGACTATTGATTGGCACATAATAAGGACCATGTCAATGTCAGCTGTTCCTATTATTGAAGTCGTTATTGTTTTTAACATTATCAATAAAAGGCACAACTCTGGGGGGCTCCTCTCTTCCTCACAAAGCCCTGCCCCATTAGCCTCTGTCCCTATTGCCTATCGCACCCGACCACTAGTATAACCCTGCTATATTATAGGTTTCGCAGCCTCAGTCTGCATGTCCCAAGCCTTCTGTCTCACCCTTTGATCAGAGGGTTCCTAAAGCTTGAGGTTCTAGCTGCCTCCTGCCCCCACTTCCAAGCCCTCCAGGGCTCCCTAATGGGGAAAAAGGCCCCCTGACTAGTGCCTTGCTGACTCCTGCACATGGGCAATCATATTAAAAATTCAGTTCCTCTAGAAACAGGTTTTTGCCACCTTCTGCCTCTGGGCCTTTGTATACACTATTCCCTCGGCCTAGAATGCTTTGCCAATGCAGTCCACATCTGGATAAAGCCAACTCTACTTTCAGGTCTCAGCAGAAATGTCACCTCCCCCAGGAAGTGTCCTCTGATCTCCAGGCTAGATCAGTTGCCTCTTCTGGGTTTCCCAGTTCACTGTCACAGCCCCAGTCCTCCAGCATGATAACATGATGGAAAAATACATGCTTTAAGAACGGCTGGGGCTGGCCGAGTGGCGCGTTGGTTAAGAGCTGGCTTGGGACGCCATCTCTGAGCAGCAGGACCCCGGTTTGGATCCCACATGAGGTCCAGTGACACTGCCCTCTACAGCTAAGATGGTGAACAACAGCTCAACCTGGAGCTGGGCTGCCAGGAGTCTCCGGCGATGGCATAGGCTGCAGCCCCTGCTGTAGTGGGCTGACATAAGCTACTGTGTGTGGCCAGCAGCCAGCGTGAGCGGCCGGCAGCCGGTGTGAGCTGCCAAGAGCTGCCATGAGCGGCCGTTCAGAGGCCGGCGACTGATCTGCCTCACCCAGGAAGAGCGCAATGATAACACCAACATGGGCCAGTGAAGCAACGTCCTCCACAACTAGACTGAAGAACAAAAGGAAAGCAACTTGTCTGTTCCCCTCCCTCAATTCCCCAATAAAATCTTAAAAAAAAAAAGAAGAACTGCTGGTCCTGATGACCCAGCTCTCTTGCTGCCTCCTCCAGGGAGTATGCCCTGATTGCCCCAGCAGTTGGCAATGGAGGTGAGCATAGCTAGCTCCTTACTTCACTTGAATTATAGGGAGCTCTCCAAGTTCATCCCGCTTTAGCCACACTTCCTCCAACATATCAAGCACAGTCCAGCCTCAGGGCCTTTGCACTGGTTGTTCCCTCTGTATAGAATTATCTTCTCCCAGATACCCACATGGCTCCCTCTTTTACTTCCTTCAGATCTTTGAATGTGAATGTTACCTACTCAGTGAGGAATTCTCTGACTACTCACTTTTAAATTATATATCCCCCGCTCCCTGACACTCTGCTTCTTCTCTTTTCCTGCCTAATTTTTCTCCGTTGCACTTATCACCATCTAAAATACTACACATTTTACTTTTGTATTTTCTTTATTGCCTGTCTCCTTTACCAGACATGAGCTCCTGGAGGGCAGGGATTTTTATCCAACTTGTTCACTATTGTGTCCTCAACACCCAGAACTAGTGCCAGCATACAGTAGTAGGTGCTCAATAAATGTCTGTTGAATGAATGAAGGCATGGCAGCATGCAAGGTCTGCCTTGGTCCCCTGATGCCCAGGTATTCCCATCCACCTACACAGTGTCTCTGTCCCATTTCCAGATACCTGATCTTCTTGGTCACCTTCTCCAGGGGAACACTGAGGCGGAGAGAGAGGTGGCAGAGGTGCAGAAAGGCCATGCCCAGGCTCTCATTCTTAAAGTGGTGGATCTCCTCCTCACTTGACAGCTCCCACAGCGATGCTACATCATTCACAAACTCATGCTTGCCCTGGGGGTGGTTAAATCGGACGGAAAGGGAGGCATGAGAACCTCTTCACTCCCCAGCTTCTGGCCACTTTGGGGAGGGAGGGAAAGGTAAAAAAACACAGCATTCATGCCTTTCTACCCAACCCTATGCTTGTGGAAGACATCACTGATTGATCACAGCACTCTTTCATGTGCAACCCTAAGAGTCTTAAAACCCTTTGGTTCAGGCAGAAAAAGGATCCCAGATGCCATGAGTTGAAACCTACTAGCTGGAACTGGGAAGGGAAGTGGGGCCTCCTCAACTGCCCATCAGTTCCCCCCAAAATAATCCCACCACCTCAGCTCTGCTCACACCTGCTCAAAGAGGTACTCAAAGGAGGCTGGGTCCAGGAGTTGCACCCCTTGCTCTGCCTGATCCGATGAAGCCTTGGCCCCTGGGGGCCCACAGCGGTACACAGCTGGCTCCTGAGGATTCGTGCCGTGCCAGTTCCGGAAATAAAACCTGCAGGAAGGGAGGGGGCACAGCTGGGGCCGAGCATGGATTCATACCAGCTCCAGTTAAGATGGGGTACAGGGGAAGGAGGGGACAGAACAAAAGGGGACAAGCTTCCCACAGGTCTTTGCCCACCTCATGCGGAAATGCAGCGTCAGGCTTGCGTCTCTGGAGACCTCCAAGATGTGGTTTGGGGACAGCCAGACCTGGGCCTGGGCATCGAAGAGGGCAAAGAGATTGAGGCAGGATGGAGTGATGCCTGGAACAGGGAGAAACAAGGTTAGGAGTCAGCGTCTGCTGCCATTTACTCTGTGGGCCCCCAGACCTGCTGTCTCCCTTCACTACCTTTCCCTGTGCCTTCTCCCCTTCTAACAGAGGAAAATGCAATATGTTGACCATGCTGTGGCCTCACAGAAGACTATATTTCCCAGGCTCCCTCGCTGCTTGGATGGGGCCACTGGACTGGTTTCTGGCTAATGGGATGTGAGCAGAAGAGATTGCATACTTCCAGGCCTAGAAATAAACCCTCCTGCCATCTTCCCTGCCCCAGGGATGTTGGACACCCCTTGTGTCAAGATAGAAGCGAACCATCTGACCTGCATTAGGTTTTACATAAACCTTCATCGTCTTAACCCAAGGAAATTTGGGGGGGTTGCTTTTTACTATAGCAAAACCTATCCTCAACTGACTAACACAACCCTACTCTGATCTCTCTTTGAGCTCCAGCCCCTAAGAAATAGTCTGCTACCTCCTGGCTATCTGCCCCTGGAGGTCACAAGCCCCCTTAGGCATGCCTTGTTCCAAACAGATCTCATCCAAGGTCCCCCACACCTGCCCCTCCTCTGCCCAGTTCTTTAAGCTAGGACTTGGTCCTTGTCCTCAACTCCTCGCATTCCCTCCACATCAGATCTGTACAAGCCCTGCTCTTCCTGTATCCACTATCTCTCTGGGATCTACTCATTTCCTTCAAATCCAAAGCCCAGGCCTAGTCCAACCTCCAGACTTGCTGTCATTCCCCACACTGGCCACCAAAGGCATCTTTTTTAATACACATCACTTAAAATTTTTAGCTAAAATAGTTCTTTCAGAATGACTTATAATCACCTAAGTACCAACTACCAGATAAAGAAATAAAACTTGGCAAGTACAGTTGAAGCCCCTGCCTACATCCACCTCCTTTCCCTTCCCACAAAGAGGTAACTATACTCCTAAATGAGAGTTTACCATTTTCATATGCTCTATGATCGAGTCTTGAATGTTATAAACTCGAAATGTGGTATTCTCCCATAAGTGTCCTTCTGCAATTTGCTTTTTCATGTCATAATAAGTTTTAAAGCTTCTCACATGATGATACATGTAATATTGGTTACATTTCCTTTTCGGGGCAGTATAGTATTCCAGTGTTCAACCACACTGCTATTTATTTGTGCATCCTCCCGCAGATGGACTTTGAGATCGTCTTCCATTTTTCGCTAAGATAAATGAGGCAGCTCTGAACATTCTCATGTGTCTCCTGGAACACATGAGCTGAGTGTCTGTATGGTGAATATCTACGAGTGGAACTGTGTGGCCTCCGAGGATGTACATTTCAACCATGTTAGATGATGCCAAATTGCTCTCCAAAGTTGTTGCATCCTAGTGTGCTGCCTCCTGCAGAAGGAGAATGCCTCCCTGTGGGACAACTTCCTAAAGAGCCAATCTGACTGTTTCATTTACTGGCTTAAACCTTCCATGGCTCCCCATTGTTCCCTGAGAAAGCCCAACCCCTCATCACAGAATAGCATGACCTGGACCCTGGTTTCAATTCCTACTTCCCCTTCAAAATCATTGAAACTGACACACTAGTCACTCTTACAGTTTTTTGCTTCCTCAAATAGATCAGGCTCTCTGGGCCCCATGCACATGCTGTTCCCTCTGCCAGACATGTTTCACTTCACCCAGCACATCTATCAGATAGCTTTTAAGAATCAGCTATCTGGGCTGCCGTGAGTCGCCGGCGACGGCGTAGGCTGCAGCCCCTGCTGCAGTGGGTTGCCATGGGCTACTGTGTGTAGCCAGCAGCCAGCGTGAGCGGCCAGCAGCTGCTGTGAGCGGCCATCCAGAAGACAGTGACTGATCTGCCTCACCCAGGAAGAGCGCAATGATGATGCCAACTTGGGCCAGTGAAGCAACGTCCTCCACAACTAGACTGAAGAACAAAACGACAGCAACTTGTCTGTTCCCCTCCCCCAATTCCCCAATTAAAAAAAAAGAATCAGCTATCGATTGAAAAGTACATAGTGTTGTAGAAATCCACCAGAAGGCACCCACCCAGTTGTTGGGGAGGGAGTTTGAAAGGACTTCCTGGAGGAAGGGCCATGTAAGCAAAGTCCTCTTGGAGAGAACTTCTCCTATGGCAGAAGAAATTACACTTTTGAGCACATCTATAGCAGGCTCTCCCAGCCATTCCATTTTCTAACTGCTCTCAAGAAATAGTCTAAACTCTCAACTCCTCCCTCTGGCATTTAAGGCACTGTAAGATCTGGCCCTGGCTGACCTCTCCCCCATCATCATCTCCCACCTGGAGATCAACTCTGCCCTGGTCTCCCTACTCCCACCCTCATCCACCACAGGCTGTTCCCCCTACAGCAGCCAGAGAGCACCTGTGAATACCTGAGTCCAGTCACGTCCCTCCTTTGTTCACAGTCCCTCCTCACTTGGAGTAAAACCCAAAGTCCTCCCTGAGGCCCAAAGGCCCTGCACAACCTGCGCCATCACCTCCTTGCCCTCACCTACTCCTGTCTTCCCTCACTCAGCTCAGGGGTTGCCGGCAAGTTCCCACCTCAGGGCTTTTACACTTGCAGCTCCTGCTGCCTGGTACCCATCTTCCCTAGATATCCCTGGGGCTCCCTCCCTTATCGCCTTACATTTAAAATTTTTCACCATCATCTATCTCTGCCCTCCTACTCAGTTTTATTTACTACATTTCTTGCTGATTTCCCTATCAGAATATCAGTGCGACAAAGGCAGTGATTTGGGGGCTGGCATATACTAGGCGCTCACTCAAGGTTTTTGAATGAACAGGCAGATGGATGGAACCCAGCTGCTACTGGAACCTCCACCCCCTCCATGGGACTCACCGACTTTCTGTGCGATATGAATGCAGACCTCCTCCGCAGTCAGTGTGGCCTCGCTGAAGGTGACCCAGGGCTCTCCGCCGTCAGGGCCAGCCCAGTGCAGTAGCACCTTCAGGACTCCTCTGGTGGCCATGAGCTGAGCTCCATCGCCATCAGGCTTGCTGCACCTGGCAGTGGCCCTCCAGTGGCATAGAGGCATGCTCTTGACAGCTGGCTTGGCTGTGAAGGGACAGCCCATCAGTCCCCAGGTCTTAGCCTGGAGGCTCCTGTTACTACCTCAATCTGCTGCCCATGCAGACTGAGACCCAAGGGGAAGATTCGGGACTCCCCTTGCTCTGCGAAATCAGGTACACAATTCTCCTCCCTGAGCCTCAGTTTCCACATATGTTTGATGGAATTGGGGTATGCATCCCCACATATCAGACACTTGTCATGAACAATAACAACACCCAACCCTTTATTGGACAAATTTGCATCAGTATAAAAATCTGCTCTGGGGCGGCCAGGTGGTTCAGTTGGTTAGAGTGTGAGCTCTGAGCAACAGGGTTGTAGGTTCCATTCCCACATGGGCCAGTGAGCTGCACCCTCTGCAACTAGATTGAAGACAACGACTTGAGCTGAGCTGCCTATGGGCAGCTGGATGGCTCAGCTGGTTAGAGCGCGTGCTCATAACAACAACATTGC